GGGGCACCCAGAGAAGGAGGTGACACAGACCGAGGCTGGGCTCCAGCCACACAGACTGCGGGGATGGGCCCGGCCTCCCGCAGTGGCCCAGGCCCAGAGGACTGGCATGGAGTCTGGCCCTGCTTCCTCAGTGGCGCTTAGGACCTCAGAGGCTTGGCTGGGAACTGCAGGCTTGGCTGGAGTGGATGAGGGGCCACCTAAAGGCACATCCTACCTGCCCAGCCCTCTCACTGCACGAGCGACTGACACGCTGCCCCTCCTGGCACCGCCTATTCCCCTGCCACAGCCACAGCAAGTGGGGCACCAACGGACCCCAGCCATCCCCTTGCCACCAAAGTCCCCAAACCCCCTCATCCCTATGCCACCTGGCCCCTGCCACGCTGCTCCTGAAAAGGAGGCCAAGCCACTGTTTCAGGTCAGTCTCAAAACCCTAGGGAAGCTGGCCATTTCAAAGGACCCTATTGACCGTAGGTAAACTCGATCTCTCTACATGAGGCTCAAACCTCATCATGTACCACCCCCACTTTCCTTCTCCTCACCTTTCTGAGAGGTTTAGCCACTAAATCACTCTGAGACTTGAGCCAAGTGCATTCCTTCTCTGGGCTTAGGACTTGTTGGGATTAGAATGAGTTGGCACCGAGGGCCTTGCCAGCTCTGACCCGTGACAGCAAATGTCTGATCTCCTGTTACCATGGCCTGGGACACCAGAGAAGTTTATTGAGGGGCCATAGGGGCCTGGGCCTTTCACATGGGGTGTTTTCTTCTGCCCATCCATTTCATCCCTCCCCAGGTAACTCAGGGTTACCAAGATGCCAACTTCCCCCAACTTCAATCAGTGCCACGCCCAACTGACCTGGGAACAAAGAGTGTCCACTACAGCCAGGACTGCCTGCTTAGTGGACAGACTTCAGGACTCACCGCCAGGAACTTGGGGGAAAGCGAGCTTTGGAGAAGGGGGTGGGTGTAAATATGAGGGGTGTGGAGGGAGACACGCTGGTAGCAATAAACAAACATGAGTAGGGCTAAATCACTGTCTCTGGTTGTCATTGAAGAGAGGGTCACAGGAGGGACAGACTGGTCTCCTTCAAAGCTGGCTTCAGCGTTGTCCTTTTGGGGCCATCCTTCCCTTCCCTGAAGATCTCGGTGCCCTGGGCTCTGCTGACCTAAAGCTCCAGCGTAAAGCCCTGGCTGACCTATCCTTTCCTCTGACTGGCCTTCTTAGGGGTGGGCACAGGTGCCTCGCTGGGGTCTGAGCATGGAGAAGGGGCTGTTGCTCCTTCTTGTAACTAACTGTTCATCACCCCTGTGAGGAAGGGCCTGCATTAGGATGCGGCTAGGCCGGGGCTGTCCAGGGTCCATAAGAGAGAGATGTGGAGTCAGCAGGGCCTTTCCTCTGAGGCCTCCTTGCCCCTGGGCCCCACCTCTGCCTGTCACAGCTACGCCATCTTGAGGCCCTGCTCATCCTCCCTGCCCTATGACTGTGGGCATCAGGAAACTGCATTATTCTCACCAAAGAAATAAGAATCCAGGCCCTGCCACAGTGGCTCCTGCTGCTAACATGCCATATGTGGTCTGTAGGCTGGGTCTCCGTGGGAGGCCTGAATTCCAGTCCTGGGCCAATTGAAAGGCCAGGTGTGGCAGTGTGATCCTGGGGGACTGAGGCAGGAGGATCACAAGCTCAAGGTTGGCCTGGGTGACAGAGTGAGATCCAGCATAAAACAGAGCAGAGCATGGCGGCAGGCCCCCGTGGACCCAGCTGGGATGCAGGGGCGGAAGATGACATGGAAAGACCCTTCCCCCAAAGAAGAAAGAAAGGAAAAAAGAAAGAAAAGGGAAGAGAAGAGAAAACAAAAGGAAAGGAAAAGAAATGAAACAGCAGATTTCACACAGAATGAAGATCTGTACCAAATGGTTACCAATGTTGACCTTGCAAGGAGCAGGGAGGAAGCTGGCGGAATGACGAAGAGAAGCTTCCACAGTCTACATTCCTGTTTTATTTCTATTTCCAATGTATCTACTATTTCTCATCTATGAAAAAAGGAACAATATTTCCATTTTTGAACAAACTAAACTAACAAATAGAATGAACCCAAGCCTCTGGCCTCCAACACTGGCTTAGCACCGGTCATTATCCTGCTGCCGTTTGGCCCAGACTTCTATTAGAAAGATGGGGGTAAAGGAGGTAAATAATGGCCAAAGTGCTTAAACACCAGGGGACTTTCAGAGGAGATTCCTAAACCTTTTAAACAACCCTGAGTGATAGGGAACAGCAGGTGGCGAAATGGTTACGTCGCTGGACTTCCACAGAGTTGACCACAATTCAAGTCCTGGACCTGGGGCCTTAAAACTCATGCAAGGGGGACCAGCAGTTAGCGTAATGGCTATGTCGCTGGACTCCCATGTAGTCGACCGCGGTTCACATCCTGGACCTGGTGGCTTAAACTCACGCCGGGCGCATATACGTGTGTGCCCAAGATCCCGAGAGGAGAATGGAGGAGAAGGGATTGTGGCATGGCCATCCCCCCTGGGGGGGTGATTTCTCACTTTCTGTCTCTCTGTCTCTCTCTGTCTTTCTGGCAAGTGCAAGCGGCCTACAGCAAAAACCTCTAAGAAAACAACCTCATGCAAGGCACATGTGCATGCGTGCCCAAGATCCCTAGAGGAAAATGGAGGAGAAGGGATTGCGGCGTGGCCATCCCCCCGGGGGGTGATTTCTCACTTTCCGTCTCTCTGTCTCTCCGAGTACACATGCTGTCTAACAAAAATCTCTCTGAAAAGAAAAACCACCCTGGGTAACAGCTATCTACCAGCTCAAAGCTGCGGAAAGGAAAAATATCAGAAAAAGAGGAATGCCTGAGAAAAAATGACATTTTGGAATCCTCCGGGTCCTGGAGAAGGGATGGGGGCAGGATCAGGTCTCAAGAGGTCGGGCTCCAGGCGGCCGATAGGGTGATACAGGCTGCAGTGAGGGCTCCAGTAATACATAGCGTTTGAGTAGGGCATGTGAGGAGGGGCATCATGGAAGTACAACAGGCCAGGGCCTGAGAGGCAAGCACAGGGCTAAGCAGGGCCACAGCCTGGGCAAAGCTTGTCCTCCAGCCCCACGGACTTCCAAATGGTGCCCCGAGCTCAGCAAACTGCCGTCTGTAGTCCAACAGACCGAGTCCTCACACTGGAGACTACATCCCAGCCTGGGATATAAGATCGCAGGCAGCTGTAGCTTCTTGTCCCCTTGGGGTGGAGGCTCAGGTTGGCCTGAGAGGACAATGCAGCTCTTTCTCTGCCTGGCGTCTCTCCAGGACCTGGGAATGGAGAGTGGAAGCTCCTCTAGGGCAAGTGAGGCCTACCTAATCCTTAGGAGTTCTGGCTGTCCTGAGTTCAAGTCTTTGTCACTCAGATGGGTTACCCTAGACAAGGCACTTAACCTCCTCGAGCCTCAGTTTTACCATCAACAAAACAGGGAAAGTAGTACTAGCTCCGTGGCACTGTTGAGAAGATTTTTTTTAATTCTCTTTTTTGTTGTCAGAGGGAGCGGGTGCTCACCAGAGAGACAGAAGGCACCCCCAATGGAGCCTGGTCACGGTGCAATCCTTTATCCTACATTTCTCCATCCCATCAGGATTTGGGGCATGCACACACACACACTCCTAGTGCATTTTTCAAGCTGCCAGAACCAGAATTTGAACTGTGGTTGGCCACATGGGATCTGGCTCCTGTGCATAGCACTTAACTGCTGAGCTATGGGGCCTGCACTTTTGTGAAAATGTAATGACCTAGTGTAGGTAAATACTTGGAACAGTGCCCCCCACAAGATATAAGCGCAACAGAACGTATCTGATCACCTCAGTTGGCACCACCTTGCTACCTCCATTTCGTGCCTTTCAAGGTCTGTCTCACCTCTGACCCCTTGTTAATGCATGGATCATGAGGCAAAGGCTTTGAAGTTAAAGCTGTTTTCACATCCTGGCTCCACCACTTACTAGTTACCTGACTTCGTATAAGTTATTGGGCTATTGGAAAAGCAATGACACATTTTGCATAGAAAAACAGAAAAAAATTCACGACTTTTCTGACAACCCAATACATACATATATGCTTCTTTTCTTTACAAGAGGAGTAATGACCCAATAATATCTGCCTCTTGGGCCATTCGAGAAATAAACTAAATGATAATATAGAGATCTTGGCATGTAGTGACAAGCAGTGGCTATTTGACCTTTTCATAACCTCCAGGATACTGAGTTCAAGACTGGCACAGAGACTGGGTCCATATGTGCCTGTCTGTAGGCTGACTGACATCCAGGCTTGCCGAAGCCTAGAGACAAACTGATACCCAAGTCCCCGAGAGGTGCTGGGATTCCGGGGCACATGGTGCCAGCTCTGGTGTGGAAAGGCTGGTGACTGAGTCAGGACAGCCCTGGCTCTGCCCAGTTCGGGGCAAGAAGACCAGCCCTGCACATGAGGCTTATGTTGGACTTCCATGGGCTTGGGGGGGAGATGATAAAGGCCAGATCCAAGAAGAAAGGGTCGGAGTCCAGCCAGCAACTCAATAGGTCAGAGTTAGAGCCACCTTCCTCCTCTCCTTCCCCTCAGAGGAAGCAGCCCGAGGCACTGGCACATCCCAGCGGAACTACCTCTCCTCTCTCTCCCCAGCTCTGTCTTGCCTCCTTTTTTTAATGAATTATTTATTTTATTTAGTATTATTATTAATTTTTAAATTTGCTATAGGGCACATGCACTCAACCAGAAGGAGACAGAGGGAAAGTGAGAAAACAAGCCACCAGGTCTAGGACTCAAACTATGGTCAGTCATGTAGGAGTCCAGTGCCTTGCCCACCACACCACCCACTGGCCCCATGGCTTCAATTGTTACCCTAGACTACCCCAGGCAGGTTCTGACTACTCCTCGAAAGGCCTCCACAAATTCCCTCTCCTACCTGCACCTTCCCCCAAACTCAGTGGCCACGTGATGTGATGCATGGCACTGAGGTCCCAGCCCATTTGTGGCTTCTAACTTCTCACTGCTAGAGCGTTCCACCCAGGGCTTTCACAGAAGTGTAGGCTACAGTTGGGACTTTAGACCCCCGGGGCATTAAAACAAAAGCTAAGAGAGATTTTTTGAAAAGACAGAACAAAAGGCACTGATCACCATCTTCTTAATAAGGCCACAACACCTTCCCCCTCCCAAGTCAGGAAATTCAGGATGAGGTATGAGGTTTCCCAGCTAGGAAAAAGAAGTGGTTCTCCCACTTCTCCTTCACAATAGAGGCTACCTTAGCTTCTCACACAAAGTCGGCACACAAATTACACGTTCTCTGCCAACAACACAATCGAGTGGGAAGGAACTGCCTCTCCTCCAGACTCCTCCTCCAGGAAGGACCTAAATAAATGCAATTCTATAGCACTTGATATGTAGGCTTCACCTTTTCCTATAACCTCACAGGGACCAATATAGCATTTGTATACCATTACCTCTGGGACCTGCCAGGGATAGCGTCAGAAAGAGCCCAGGGCAATGGCTCTCACAAAGGGACAGCCAACCGGACTGTGGGAACCTGGCAAGGCAACTTCCTGACTTTCTGTGCTAAAGAAATCCCACCATCAGTTCAACCTAAGTGCAGGGGTCTGGAAAGAGATTTAGACTTAAGTTTACAAAAAAAAACTCAACCACCACCCCAATATTAGCCCACCTATGTACATCAGCCCTCTGCATGCCTAAAATGGATAGATCACCAGTAATCTGAACCCAACATGGCCAATAACCCCAACAGCATTGTTTCTGAAGTGACATTGAATGGGCATGGCAATGCAATTTCCCCTGAAGTTAACCTAGCACATGGTCAGTCGTCAATAATTATTGATTGGCTATCAAGTAAAAGAGAGGCTCCTTTCATTGAAATGACATTTGAAGTTATTCAGACTTTTTTTTATCTGTCTACACCCACTTGACAGAGAGGCAGAGAGTTATGCTGGAAAGCTCTCTGGACTAGGGAGTCAGTCCATCTGGGTTCTGGTCTCAGCTCTACCAGTAACTCTCTATGTGACCTCAGGAAAGTCACAGTACTTAACTTGGGAAGAGAGAGAGAAAAGCATGGATTAAATGATCAATATGTTCCCTTCAGCTATGTTGTCCAACAGAGCCCATAGTTCATTTCAAATCATCATCACATCTTATTTGGGAACAAAATCCAACCCTCTTAGCCAAACTGAAACACCCATATCACTGAAGATGGGCAATGACGAGCAGAAAAGGCGGTGAGAAAGGGGCTTGAAGAAAGCGAGGGCACGGAATGTCAGGGAGATCATTCTACTCCGTGTTCTAGGGTGATAAAACCACTTCTAAATCAAGGTCCCCTCATTTCCTGGCCCATGGTAGAAGGTGAGCTCTAAGCAATAACTTATTAATTGATTGGAAAACTAATCCCAGAAGAAAACCAGAAAAAGGACGTGGATAGGCAATTCGCGGAAGAAAAGTACAAATGGCAATGAACAGAAGGCAGAGGGGCGGTACAGAGAACCTTTTACCTCATCATTAACCAAAGAACTGTAAATGGCACTGAGATACACGTTTACAGTGATCGGATTATCGAGTGTGTAAATGAGATAGGCTGAGGTCGCCTCTGATACACTGGGACAGTCTTTCTGGTAAAGCAATTGGACCGTATTTATCAAGAGTCCTTGAAAGAGCGTTCCCTTTGACTCAACAATTCCACATCTAGAAATCTATCCTAAGGGAATAAACATGGCTATGCCCACATGTAAAGAAGTTTATCATAGCGTGATTTAATGAAAAATTGAAAACTCCTTTTTTCTTTTCCTTTTTTGAGAGATTTTTGCTGTAGGGTGTGCATGCTCATCAGAGAGACAGAAAATGAGAAATCACCCCTCTGCGGGATGGCCATGCCAATTCCCTCTCTTCTACTCTTCTTCTAGGGATCTTGGGCACATGCACAAAACACATCGGGCATGAGTTTCAAACTGCCAGGTTCAGGATTTGAACTGCAGTCTGCCATGTAGGAGTCCAGCATCTCAATTACTACACCGCCTGCTGGCCCCAAAATTGGAAACTCCTAATTGTCTGACATCAAGAGGAGGGTTACGTACATGTTTTAGAGTCATTAAGAAGTATCTTTGAATAATTTCCAATGATGTAGAAAATACTACATTAAAAAAGTAGGTTTACAAAACTATATTTATAGTTGAATTTGTTGTTTTTAAAAAATATACATGCACTGGGGCCAGCAGATGGCATAGTAGTTACACCACTGGACTCCCAAATGGCTGATTATGGTTCAAGTCCCAGACCCAGTGGCTTCAAAATCACACCGGGCAAATGTGCATGCATGCCCAAGATCCTGGGAAGAAAATGGAAAAGAAGGTATTATGGCATGGCCAACCCCCCTGGGGGGTGATTTCTCACTTTCCCTCTCACTGTCTCTCTCTCTGGCGAGTGCATGTGCCCTATGACAAAAACCTCTAAATACACACACACACACACATATATGCACATTGGGGGGGACCAGCAGATGGCATAATGTTTATGTCACTGGACTCCACATGGTTGACCACAGTTCAAGTCTCAGACTCTTAAAACTTAAAACTCACACTGGGCACGTGTTCATGCATGTCCAAAATCCTGACAAGAGAATGGGGGAGAAGGGACTGCAGCATGGTCATCTCCCCTGAGGGGTGATTTCTCACCCTCTGTCTCTCCATCTCTCCAGCGAGTAGAAGAACCACCCTGAAATGAACTTCACAGTTCATATGAACAGTTTATACACAAAATTTCAGGAAGCAAAATATAATATACTAACTATACTATAAAGGAGAAAGAAAAGGAAATCAATTTCTTTTTTTAAGAGGTTTTTGCTAGAGGGCACTCACCGGAAAGAGACAGAGACAGTGAAAAGGAAAGTGAGAAATCATCCCCAAGGATTGGCCACACTGCAATCCTTTCTCTTCCATTCTCCTCCTGGGATTTTGAGCACGCACACACATACGCCCGGTGTGATTCTAAAGCCACTGGGTCCAGGACTTGAACCATAGTCGGCCATGTGGGAGTCTAGCAACATAATCACTACGCCATCTGCTGGCCTCAATGAAACCAAGTTATAATAAGATAATATAAGGTCATCAAAATAGTTATGATGAATTTTTCTGTTTTTCTATGCAAATCTGTGTCATGACTTTTCCAATGACTGATGTTTCAACATACAAATACGTGGGCAAGACTGTATTAAAATACATAATAAAGTAGCGAGATCCTTCTAAGTATACATAGAATCACTGTGAATGCAATCCCTACAAATGAAGACACACACGGGGATTCTGTATTGGCAACTCAAATATCCAGAAATGGCATTGCTGTTGGT